CTCTCTTTTCAAATTACTTGTATTCTCAGGGAATCAATAGACAGGTACTCCCCGAGCTTTTGAGAAGACAGAGCCGTTTTGAGTTATGTCTTCTGTCTTTTGCTATAACTATTTTGGTGTCAATATACAGTGACTGAACACATGTAAAAACTTATACTTATTTATGCAATGGTTGTTTGTACTTTGATTACGATAATGCATGTGTTGTGATACTACAAATAAAGTCATCCACCCCCGGACGTTTCCGCCGTCTGGCTTGGGGGTGTGACATTACTGTAGAAAATTTATCAACTAAAAAATGTTAACAATGTCTTTCAAGAGTTTTAACACTCATCATGATATCAACCATGTAACACCATAAATATTGAAAGCAAAGTTTTCATTTTTAAAACGCATAAAACTCATATATTATATTTCATAAAACCATAAGTGTCTCAAATGCCAACATATGTCCACAAGCAAAAATCAAATCCCAGAATCCTCATCATAATCTCGATGAAGTGTGTACAATCACGCCGACATCTTCCCACGGTCCTGAGAAGTACTTGAAACACATATCACACAACACGGTAAGCACGAAGCTGAGTGAGTTCCCTAAAATACCACATAAACAAATAATAAGCCTCTCATGGCTTTAACTCGGCATGGACCCTCCGGTCTCCTGCGTTTTGATGTGTACCCTCTGGTCATGTGTCTCGGGGAGGACCCTCTAATCTTACAGCTCGGATTGGACCCTCCGGTCCCACAACTCGGGTTGGACCCTCTGGTCCTGTCTCAGTGGAAACCCTCCAGTCCCACAACTCGGTTTGGACCCTCCGGTCCTATCTCAGTAAACACAAAATATAGCATATATATCACACAGACAAAATGCCTAATATCACATAACTCAGGTAAGCACATAAGACCCTTCGGTCACTCATAGATACCACCCATGGTAAGTATAGTGAAAAGACTCACCTCGTAAGCAAGCACACAATAACCTCGTACACGAATCATGAACTAGCCTCTGCCTAACACATATGATAATTATCTCTAATTAACACTTTATCCATAACTCTAAATAAACCAAAGGTTATTCTCTCTCTCTTTCTCTCTCTCTCTCTCTAACTCTTGAAATGGGTAGAAGACCATTTTACCCCTCTATTGTCCCCATAATCCCTATCTTGACCAAACCCTAAAGTCAACAGAAGTCAATACTCAAGTCAACTGTCCATGTTGACCTGACTCACCGAGTGCGTCTATGTAACTCATCGAGTCCCCTTGTTTCTTCTGAAATATCACGAACATCCAATTTAACTCGTCGAGTTGTCTCCTCAACTCATTGAGTTACCCATGTCCAGACTCATCAGGGAAAACCCTAGCTGACTCGTCGAGTCAGCTCTTCGACTCGTCGAGTCCCTTAAGTCAGTTTCTTATTCAGATGTTTTAAGGTAGATCTAGCACTCCACACTCTAGATCTAGGCTCCCAAGGCTCGAATGTCACGTAAAGCTTCGATCTTTACGTTCATGCATGGCACATTTTGCTCCAACATGCCAATACAGCTCAACAAAGGGGTTTAAGCACAATAAATCTTATATGGCTAAATAAATCTGGGACCTTTGGACTCTATGGACCTTATAAGGTCCAGATCTGAAGTCTAGACCCCTTGATAGATTCCATGCACTCAATGTCCCAATAAAAGGTGGTAAAATTCCTAACTTTCATAATCATGAGTTCTAACCAATAAGATGAGAAAGGTGTAAGCTTTTTACCTTCCAAAGAAGCTCCAAGTGAAGGAAATGCTAGATCCCACAGCCTCTCCTCATTCCTTGCTTGTATCTCACTCATTTCCTTCCAAAAGATCCACCAAAACACTCAATATTAGCTCACACACACTCTCTTTTAGCTCAATGATGGTTTAGGATTTCACACAGGAGAGTTGGGCAGCTGGTGAGGTGGAAATGAGGACATAAGTTTCCTTAAATAGGCCCCAAACCCGGGGATTTAGGGTTTCATTTCGCAGCGCCTACTCGGCGAGTCAGCTCTCTGACTCGTCGAGTCAGTTTTTAGACCCACATGGTCAATCAGTCTCTACTCGATGAGTTGGGGCACCAACTCGTTAAGTTGCTCAATAGATCTAAAAAATAAATAAATAAATAAAAGGATAATATATCTGGGAGCCCGAATGTTACAAACCATATCAGAAAATTCTTACTCTTCAAATGGTTAAGTTCATATCTTCTGTTGTTAAAACCTTCATTAATATGTTGGTGGATGTAGGGGGATTATGATAAAATAGCTTTTATCGTAATTCTTCTGAGTTTATTCATAAAAATTAATGTTAGTATATATAATTAATGAAAGGATGTTGCTACTTTTTCATTCAACCGATTTCTTTTTAAATACAAGAAAAATGAACATAATTTTACTATTTATTATAACATCTTTCTTTCCTATCCTTTTTTCTATTAAAACAATACTTTCCGTTTTTTCTTTTGAAGACATTATACTTTAAAAATCAATTCACTTCAAAATAGCTCACAGCTCAATTCTTTAGGGCCGTGATTATCACGCTCCGAATAAGTTTCCTAGTATATATATATATATATATATATATATATATATATATATATATATATATATATATATATATATATATATATATATATAAAAGATTTATTTGAAAAACAAAAAAAACCCTAAAAATCATAAAAATGCATAAAAAAAATACTTAGAGATTACAAAACGTTTTTTTAAATTTTTTTGTATAAAACAATCACAGGTTTTCTAATAAATTCGCTGAAAAAAAAAAATCAAAATTTTAAAAAATTAAAAAAATTAAGGAAAAATTTCAAAAAAAAAAAAATCAGCGAATTTATTTAATAACATGCGATTTTTTCATAAAAAAGTTCAAAAAAAAAATTTGTGATCTCTAAGTATTTTTTTTTATGTATTTTTATGATTTTTAGGGTTTTTTTATTTTTTATAGAACCTAAACCTATATATATATATATATATATGTATGTATATATATATATATATATATATATATATATATATATATATATATATATATATATATATATATATATATAAGTTTATAACCCGTGGTTCCCACGGTTACAAAATTAATTAAACTTTTATAATGAAAACTAAAAAGTATTAATCAAATATTTTAAATAAATTATTAATTAAAAGATCTTTTTTTTAGTTATATAAAATTATAATTGTTAACTTAAATAAATATATAAATTATATCATCTTATAATTTTATTTTAATTTTATTGTAATGTTATTAATTTAATATAATTAGAGTGAGAAATTTAAAATTAAGAATTAATATGTTGATAAATGACATGCATTAATTAGGAAGACTAATAGGGTGACACATATCAAAAGTAGAATAACATATGTATTTATTAAAAGGCCTAATAAGATGACACATACCAAAACGAGATTAAAACTATTCTTATATTAGAATAGGAAGATTTCGAGTAATGGATTAAACTTTTATAGTGAAAACTCAAAATTATTAATCAAATATTTTAAATAAATTATTGATTAAAAGATCTTTTTTTTAGTTCTATAAAATTATAATTGTTAACTTAAATAAATATATAAATTATATCATCTTATAATTTGTATTAATTTTATTTTAATTTTATTGTAATGTTATTAATGTAATATAATTAGAGTGGGAAATTTAAAATTTAAAATTTAAAATTGAGAATTAATATGTTGATAAATGACATGCATTAATTAGGAAGATTAATAGGGTGACACATGTCAAAAGTAGAATAATATATGTATTTATTAAAAGGCCTAATAAGATGACACATATCAAAAGGAGAATAAAACTATTCTTTTATTAGAATAGGAAGATATATATATATATATATATATATATATATATATATATATATATATATATATATATATATATATATATATATATATATATATGTTCAGGTTCAATCGAGACCTTGCTAATTTTGTGAGACCGTGAGACCAAATCTAAAAATAATTTTAAATTGCAAAATAAATGGAAAAATCCAAAAATTCTTTTTTTAAATATTATTTTTGGAACTTGAATGAACTAAATTTTTTTTAAAAAATAATAATAAAAAAATCCCCATTTTTTTTGAAAAATACGTGAAATATTCTAAATAGAATATTACACTGACATATTCTAAAAAATAATTTTAAAATGCAAAATAAATGGAAAAATCTAAAAATTCTTTTTTTAAATATTATTTTTGGAACTTGAATTAACTAAAAAAAATAAAAAAAAATCTTATTTTTTTGAAAAATGCGTGAAATATTCTAAATAGAGTATTACACTATATATATTCTAAAAATAATTTTAAAATGCAAAATAAATAGAAAAATAAAAAAAAATTTTAATATTATTTTCAGAACTTAAATTAACTAAAAAAAATTAAAAAAATAAAAAAAATAAAAAAATGCGTCTCACAAAATTAAGCCGTCTCACATGAACCTAACCCTATATATATATATATATCTTTACTATATTATTAAGGATATTGCCCATCTCTTGAAAATTAAGAGGTACCACATATCTTACGTTATGTACAATGACATTAAGCAACATACGTATTATACTACACTACACGCTACACAAGGATCGTATACTACACCGTACAATGACCTTACCTAATCTCCTAGCCACAACCATCTAACCTATTCACATCGACAAGTTAACAGATCCGGAGGCGGTGAAGAACAGATCCGGAGAAGACAGATTAATGATGCTCAGCATGTTCGATCCTCAATCCAATCGTCAGCCTTAAAGTAGTCGACGTCTTAACATGGCGGATCTGCAGCGTTTCCGATATAAACCATTTGTTCGCCATCGATTTGCACCCTAACAGACGCCTTCGCATCTTCTATCATCAAAAACCCTAAAGATCTGCCATCTAACCTATTCATCTCACCTTCGTAACCTCCGTCAGCCACCACAGGTACCCTCAAAACCATCTTCACATCGACAACACCAAAGATGCCCCTTTCCCCGCATTCGATTTTCACCCTAACACGCTCTCAGGTCTCAGCTATCAAAGATCCCGAACACAGAGGGGACGAAGACGCCGCTGCTGACGACGAATCAGGTCTGAACATCTTGCCGCTGCTGACGACGAATCAGGTCTGAAGATCTTCGTTCCTGAAAAACCCTAGAAATCTGCGTCAATCATCTCAAGAAGCTGTTAAGACGACAAATCAGGTCAACGGATCTTTCAACAGTTGATTCCGCCGCTACCACGACCTTTAAAGCTTGATTCCGCCGCCTACCACCACCTTCGTAACCTCCCTCAGCCACCACAGGTACCCTCAAACCCATCTTCAACATATTTATGATAATACAAAATTTTTTATGCTCTCCTCAGCTGGAGTTTGCACAATGGAAGATGAAATTTTATAATTAATTTTTAGTGGTGCTTATTATACTCATATGAATGCATCAATGTTTATTAGTATTATACTCATATGGTGCTTATTATACTCATACGAATCAGGTTTGAACATCTTCCCGCTGCTGACGACGCATCAGGTCTGAAGATCTTCGTTCCTGAAAAACCCTAGAAATCTGCGTCAATCATCTCAAGAAGCCGTTAAGACGACAAATCAGGTCAACGGACCTTTCAACAGTTGATTCCGCCGCTACCACGACCTTTAAAGCTTGATTCCGCCGCCTACCACCACCTTCGTAACCTCCCTCAGCCACCACAGGTACCCTCAAACCCATCTTCAACATATTTATGATAATACAAAATTTTTTATGCTCTCCTCAGCTGGAGTTTGCACAATGGAAGATGAAAATTTATAATTAATTTTTAGTGGTGCTTATTATACTCATATGAATGCATCAATGTTTATTAGTATTATTATTATTTTGAATAATAATTAGCTCAACGTAAAACTGACCGATAACAATGTATGTAGTAAAAGCTTTTTGGAATACGATATATTTATATGGAACATGGATCAAAATGTTTTAAGCAAAACACCTCATCACATATACAATTATGATGCTAATTATTAACACTTCAACCGAAACAAACTTGGGTTTGTACGTATCCATTCGTGTTAATAATAAAAATGATCACATTAAAAAGATTTTTTGTTAATCGATGAAATGTTTACAAAGAAAATTAATCGTTGAATCTAAATTATCCTCAACTTGTTGAAATAAACTATTCATTTACTTTTGAAAAGAAACTAATCACCAAATTCCGTATTCTAATCGTATACATTTATTTATCCCTTCCTTCACTTTCAGAGTGACTTAGTTAAAATAACTCATTGCTTTTGCTACAGATTGTCCCCGAGACCTTAGAACCAAGTTTACAGTTAGCATCTGCTGTTCTTGCACAGGTAAGTATAGTTTTTTCAGTTCATTTCTGTTTTACTCATTAATTGTTTATTGTGTTTTTATATTTTCTTAGGCTAAGTTGCCAATGTCAGAGATAGCAGCTACTATCAATGAGTTTAGATCGTGTCACTTATTAGAGCTTACTGAGGTAAACCTATCATGCTCAAATAATATTGGTTTTTTTTTTAATTTGAATAAATTTTTTTAACTTGTTGAAACTGATATCTGATCTATGGTGATAATTTTGAGTGATGATGCATTAAGCAAAATCATGTTCAGAACTCAATAATCAGATTAAAGACAATACACCAACTGTTGCTCCGGTTGTTAGTCAAGATGTGAATGCGGATTCCAACAACAAGGTAATGTTACGTTCAACTTCAAAATCACGGTTAATGTTTCATTACATGAAATCTGTCCAGCTCAAACTGTATCAGTTTTTAAGTTATTTTCTTCCATTTATGTTTCTCTTGAAGTTAGTTTTCCCGTGCCAAAAGTTACAAATTTTTTTAACTTGTTGAAACTGATATCTGATCTATGGTGTTAAAGATCATCACCATAGATCCAAAACTTCTTTTACTAATCTCTCTCTCTCTCTCTCTCTCTCTCTCTCTCTCTCTCTCTTTCGCTTTTATTTATTTATCCCTTCCTTCACTTTCAGAGTGACTTAGTTAAAATAACTCATTGCTTTTGCTGCAGATTGTCCCCGAGACCTTAGAACCAAGTTTACAGTTAGCATCTGCTGTTCTTGCACAGGTAAGTATAGTTTTTTCAGTTGATTTCTGTTTTACTCATTAATTGTTTATTGTGTTTTTATATTTTCTTAGGCTAAGTTGCCAATGTCAGAGATATCAGCAACTATCAATGAGTTTAGATCGTGTCACTTATTAGAGCTTACTGAGGTAAACCTATCATGCTCAAATAATATTGGGTTTTTTTTAATTTGAATAAATGTTTAGTCATGTGTACACTGGCTTGATATTATTTGCTTTCAATTAGTAATCATAAATATATTTGTCCACAGGAAGATTGAAGAAGTGGTGGCTGAAGAAGAGGCAACAAATGTGAAAAAGGAGAATGCTGCAAGAGTTGACCCATGTTGCTCAATTGGGTAATGATTTTAATAAAACGTTATTGCTTACACGTTTTTCAAAAAAAAATCCAATACAATTTTTTTATCTTTGAAAATTATATCAGTTTTGCGAAATAAAAAAAAATCACAATTTTTAATTAATTTTTAGTAAGTACTACTGATAAAGTATTTTTTAATTATTTTTGGTATGATTTAAAATATTTTTGGTATGATTTAAAATATTTTTAGTATTATATTATCTTAATTAAAATATTATAATTTTGGTATGATTTAAAATATTTTTGGTATGATTTATAACAGTTATTAAACAGATTTTAAAATTATTTTAGTATATTTTTATAATGTTATTATTTATGGTTAGATCTCAATTTGCTTAATTTAGGAATGATTATCAGTTTCCGAAATTATATGATAGAATACCTTTTTCCACCTATAAATCTAATACGCTTTCTTATATTTTACTCTTACAGCACACAATTCACAAACAAAGAATCAAGAACAAGAAGACTACTTCATTGCATTGCATTGCATTTGTTGACACGAATTCAGGTTCTGTTACTTCTTCACTTCTTCTATCACGTATAACTTGAAGTGTGTATATATTTTATTTTTTACTTCTTCTGTTTGAAGTGATTACTTCTTCTATCACTTATAACCTGAAGTGTGTAGGATATTTTAATTTTTACTTTTTTCTGTTTGAGGTGATATATTTCTCTCAAATAATACTTGTATATAATATGTATATATGTGTGTATTTATTTATTTGTGACATCCTATATATGTATGGTTTGTATATGTATATGTTGGGACATTGTGTGCTTGTGTATTTGAGTGAATATTGTTTTGAAAACATATCATGTTTTAATTTATGATTGAATATTGTTTCTAGAATATATCATGTTCTAATTTCATGGATTGAAACTGTCTCTTTCCGTATGTATTTAGTTTAATGTATTTAGTTTTTTATTTTTTAAAAAAACATATGGAAATTAAATGTATTTAGTTTTTTATTTTTTAAAAAGATAAGTAATAAACAGTTGATGCAATTTCCTTTGTTTTAATGCACCAAAAGAAAGTCACACATTGCAATCAGTTTGCATGTTCTTTTTTTGCATGTTCTTTTGAAATTAATACATAACCTTCTTTTTTCTGTTTTTTATTTTGTGCTATTTTGTCTGACATCCAGAGTTTGGTATCAAGTAATCTGCAAATGAAATTTTGAAATCATCATTCTTTTGTTTATCTACTCATTAACTCTTATTTCTTTGTACTTTCTTTGATATTTTGCTTAGTTAATGATGCCATATTATTTAATTTCGGAGGATTGTAATATTTTTCCGGAAAACCTTCTAGGATGGTAAATCTGGAAAACCTTCTTTTTCTTTGAATTTGACATAAGTACTCGTGGTTTGGACCTTTGTGCTTTAATCATGTCTATACGTAGAAATGTTGCATATATAAGTATAGCCGATTGCATTTTCTTGAAAATGACATCTTTACCCCTGGTGTTGGTTCGGTTAAATAGTCATATAAACTTGTAGTGATTAGTGTTGCTTCAGTTGGCTCTTAATCTATGATGTTATTCATGGTTTAAGTGATTAGTGTTCCACTTTCTTTAAAAACAATACCATATTTTGATAATGATAGTGTTAAGTGAAAAATTACTTTTTACAATATAACTCTGTCCAGTCTTGGTAGAAGACTGCTTTTAAATTAGAAAGTATAGGATTTTCTGGAAAGTAAAAATGCCTATTTTGCCCTTCCATGTTTTTCTGATCATACTAAGTGATTGCCATTTAGAGAAGAGAAAAAAACTGTTGGACAAATCATGCCATTTGGTTTGCAGACTTAAAGTGGATGAATACATGATATTAGGTCCCTAAATTCCATTTTTTTTACTTTATCTAGCGAACTGACAGCAGAAAAATACATTATCATATCTAGATCAAAAACATATTATATAATCCAGTCATCCATCATTAAATTTAACCAAATTAAATCAATTCTACATCAATCACGTGTGACTTTCTTTTTGTAGAATCATGAATGGTCAAATTTACGTTGATGCATTTTCAATGCTACTAAACTACCATTTGTGGTATGTTTTGACACCCGTTCGTGTTGATTTCATTTGGAGGGACTCAAGAGCAAACAAACTTTTCATGATTCTCATTGATCAAAATGTATGTTTAAAAAAACTATTTATATCCTATTTTCATTTTCATAATTTATCATAAGTATTTTCTTTATAAAAATATTACATTTTCTATTAGAGAGAGAAATTGTTAGCAGTTGTTCCACAACCAATGATGCGCTTTATTTATGGAGGGAATCTATTGGGTGGTGTGTTTTCTTTAAACCATTTCCAAGTCGAACCAACGTATGTTGAGTATCCGAGGTATCAAGAATACAGTTTATTACGTGGCGATTTGATGATTAAGATCAGCAATAACACACGATTTAATCGTTTGGCCGATGCTATCATATCATGGTTTCCGGTTTTCCCATTGGTTCCCTCAATAAAAAGTTTAGTAGAGGATCAGATAAAGAGAAAAATGATGATTGGTAAATTTAATAACTTATATATACTTTTAGCATTCTAAAGTTTTTAAAATAATAACAAGTTAATTATCCTTTTAATTATCGCTATTTTTAGATATTGTTGGAAAAATCATCAAAGGGAAGCGAAACTATTCCCGTTACTCTGGTGTACTGACGTTAACTTCTTTCACTTTATATCTCCAAGATGGGCCGTAAGTGTTTATTATTATTATTATTATTATTATTATTATTATTATTATTATTACTACTACTACTACTACTACTATTATTATTATTATTACATTAAAAGAAAATTAGGTGACTTTCGAAATCTTTGATTTTAAATAGGGGGAGTATAATAAAGATGAAACTACATATAACCGACCGAACACGCCATCAGATTGTGACAACTGTCTATGCGATAAACAGAAAGTATATAATATTTGTTTCTCGGGTGAAATTGGTTCATTTGGATTCAAGTAAGTTTTTTCTAGAAAATTATAATGCTTGTAGTGATATTAAAATAACTAAATCAATACATTTTAATAGTTTTTATCTTATTTTCAGTGAACATTTTGATATCAACCAAATTAAGCAACGTAGAGTTCCAACCGAGGATGCCGGAAGCATTTAACATCATAAATATGCCTAGAAGAATTTTTAATTCTGTGTGAGACATTTGGTGGGTTTTTTTTTTTTTTTTTTTTTTTTTTTTTTTTTTTTTTTTTTAAAGTTTTGACAACTTTTATGAGTGCGTTGCTTTTATAGTTGATCTACATTTATGTTAGACATATTGTGGCGAATTTTTTCATGTGTGGTTTATTTTTCTTGTGTTGAATTATGAATTGATAAATAATAATTTTTGGATATCTATGGATATTTTCATGTGTTGTTTATTTTGCTATTGTGTTTTTGGATTACAAGTTTTTAGTGTAGTTGGTTATTTAATAAGGGTTGTGTTGCTTTCTGAAACACACACATACATGACTACTAAATCACATGGTCTACATTACAAATGTTAGATTCTTGATGATATAATATGTGCTTATCCTTAACATTTCCATTATAGTGTTCAATGAGGACCGTAGATAAGGGAAACGAAAACTGTGATGATTCCCAAAACCCGATAGATATAGAAAAAGGTATGTCGTTTACATAAGTATATATTCGCATTTATAATATATGACTATTTATCCAAATAATATATTTGTAGAAAATCGAAAAAGATACAATAGAAACTATTATGCACGAAAAAAGGAAAAAAACAAAATGAGAAGGATAGCTAACGGTGAAGGATGTAGTCAGCCTACAACACTCACAAGTTGCACTACAATGGAGACACACGAAACAAATATGAACGAAGATTCCTCTGTAAGTGTTATAAGTGCTGCTCAGAGCACAAGTACTTATAATAAAGAATATTATCAACGAAGAAAGGAACGAACTATGATGACAAAAAGAAGAGTATACGCCTTTCAGGAGGATCCATATGATTTTGTTTACAAAAATATCCGTATGGAACATCGTATATTAAAGGCTCAAAAGCCTTGTGTTTATTGTGGAGCAAAGCGATTACAATATGAATTCCCTACCTTTTGTTGCATGAGTGGAAAGACAAAACTGGCATACTCCCCTATTCCCACAGAATTGCACCAACTCTTCACAAGCCAAGAGCAGCTAGAAGAAAGCTTCAGGTACAATATAAGGGCGTATAACTCAAACTTTTCTTTCGCATCACTGGGTGTAAAGGTGGATGAAGAATTGGCAAGTATGACATCTGGAGTTTACATTTTTTGTGCGCACGGAACACTCTATCATAATATCGATCAATTAATTTCAAGGGATGGAAAATCGAGGTATTTACAGTTGTACTTTTATGACGGTGAAGCTGAAATATCACAAAGATCCTCCTGGAAGAATGTTGATAGAAGAATCATTCAAAAACTAACACGTATTCTAGCTTCGAATCCATACGTTAGAACATTTAAACGTCTTTTTGATCTAGGACCGCTTGATAATTATAGAGTGACTCTGAATGCATCGGTGGAACTTGACCAAAGGGTGTACAATAAGCCGACCACATCTGAGGTGTGAATATTAACATTTATCTATATTCATTTTAAAATTAGATGTGTCATATTTATTATTATACATATCATATTAATCACCCTATTGAACTACACCTTTGCATAGGTTGCTGGTATTTGGGTTGAAGGAAATGACAACATCACTGCATATAAAAGAAGTATTATTGTCTACGGGAGGTCTAACTATAGTACTGAAATTCAACCTCACTTTGGTTGTTATGATCCTTTGTCGTATCCTTTATTCTTTCCCAATGGTGAGTCTGGATGGCATCCTAAAATACCAAGATATGGGGTCACCATGGATGAAATTCATAGTGACAATGAAGACAATGATGACGGTTTAGAAGGTACGCCTTTAACATTCCTTTACATATTTAAAACATGTAACAAATAT